TTAGGCTATGCTATGTCTCATCTACTCTAATTTGGTTCTTACATTTAGGGTTTAGCCATTACTCCTAGAGCCAGGGCCTCAAATGAAGTCCTGGGGAACTTATCAAGGTCCGTCTTCTTAGATAGGGCTCAGATTCCAACCTCTGCCTCTCCAACATCATGTGGCTGCTCAAGTCCTTCTGCAGATCTCTAGCCTGCCAGTTGCTGTATTCCTCTAGATTCTTCAGTCTTTCCCTATACATGCACACCTTAGGAGTTGGTCAATGACTTGAAGGGTATTTGTATCAGATTGTGATAGTCTTTCTTTGTAGTACCCTCCTTTCCAGGATTCTGCCTCTCAAGTGTCAGTCACTTTGGTTACCCAAATTCCAATCCCGAATCTCCTCAGTCTAGGAAGACTTCTCTTCTCTAGTTCAGCTCTATTCTCTAATCCTGCAAATAGGGAAGTTCCCTCAGGTAAACAACTGGAGTCCAGTGGAACTCACCTCATAAGCCCTCCTTCTCTCAAAGACTACAGTCCTTCAAGACCTGCCATCCATTGCTCTCTGAAGCCTTCAAACAATTTTTTTATATTCTGTCCAGCTTTTATAGTTGTTACCAGCAGGAAGTTTAGTTCAAACAAGCTATTCTGTCATAGCCAAAACTTTAAAGCCCTCTTTGAATTTTTGAGGTAACATACACTAGTAATAGGAGAATCACAGTGCTGGTCCTAGAATTTTAGAATGAACCCATATTTTCTTTCTGTAGACAACTATTCTCCTTTTGAGAAATAGTTTCTAGTCCTGGCAGACTGAATGCCTGACCAGGGAACACTTAGTGACTATAGGTCCTAAGCTGTCCCTTATGTATTGGATATTAATTTGAACAAACAAAATATAAAATTGGATATGTACAGCAATATTCCATCATCAATAGCAAGTAATGAATGTTCTATTAGGGCAAGCAGATCCCAAAGGCATAAGTGAATTGCATGAGCAGTTGGCTTGGACTCCCATGATGCACAATATTGCTGCATCGACACCTTTCCATCAACTCTAACACACAGCCTTATGGGAAATATCCGATAACCAACTCCCTCAAGAAGAAAAAATTCAGATCAGATTTACAAACAGTTTTTCAAAATTTGCTGAGACCACCCCAAAGTGGACTGCTGCCACATCACAGCCCCATTCAGGGGCCCCTGAGTGATCAACAAGAAGGTAAATCCTGTCAGTGTACAGATCTTGGGCTGTGTGTCCGGCTTTTTGCCTGGCAGAAGGTGAAATGGAAGGAGGTGTGGATCTATATGAGTTTATGGGCAATGGCTAATGGTTTTGCTGGAATATGAAGGAACTTGGAAAGAACAAGATAAGAGGATTGGCAAAGAGGAGATCTAGAGAAGAGTTCAGGTGTTACATCTTTCAGAATGGTCACAGATTGTGAAGATATATGGGTCTCATGTAACTATTTACCAAAGGGTATCCATGGTAGAAAAAGCTCTCCAAAATCAAGAAAAGGCAAAGTCAGGTAGACAAGATGATACATCCCATGAATATCGGTCAGACTCATAATGAGAATGAAAGTTATACCATTGGAGTGAAGTGCTGAGCCCTTGAGAGCTGTTGATGATGCTCTCCTCATTATCAGCAAAACCTGAGGACATCCTCCCCCACACCTCATGTTTGCTCTAGGAGATGCCAGGAAGTTGATTCCTGAGGGATGGTGGGTGCAGTGTCTCATAGAAGCACCATCTTGAGGGAAGTACCCCAGGAGACTTCCCTGAAAGAATGGGGCTGAGAGTTTATTTAATAGGCCATGACTCAGCCTTCAACAAGGTCTTGCATAGAGAAACCACAGAAAACACCTGTGTGGACCAGGCTTAACAGGTGAGAAGGGCTAGAGATGGAGTGCCTGGAGACAGGCAGAGAGAGCTGGGGTGGGGAGACAGGGCTAGGGAGGCCAGAGCCTATAAACCAGGGATCAAGAAGACTTATTGGGTGTGCACAAGAGGCAGGCAACTAGGATCCAGGGTGGCTATGCATACAGGGCCTGTGAGACCCTGGACCACATACCCTGGCAGGCCTGGGTAAGGGAGTACACTCACAGGTAGGATTCAAATCACCTTGACCAAGGTCTTCCCACAGGAAAGCAAGACTGATGATAGTAGTAACCACTGGAAACACTAGCAAACGTTGCACTCTTACATGTTCCAGGTTCTTGCATAAGCTTTATCCAGCATTCTCTCACAATAACTCCAGGAGTTTACAATGAGGGAAAAGGGTTCAGAGAAGGGAGAGTGACTTGCCCAAGGTCACACAGCTGAAGGTAGGAGCTGGGATTGCAATCCAGTCCTTTCTGACTCACAAGTCCACACACTTAACCACTAAGGACCACATGACACAATGAATGTAAAGAACCCAGCTGGCAGCAGGTGCTCACTAGGTGGGCTTTTCCTCTAAGCTACTCACTGAACAGATGAGAAAACACAGGCTCAAGGGCCCAAGGTCACAGCAGCGACTGGCAGAACTGGTCCAGAGGCGCAGACTCATGGCTACCAGGCGGGGCTCAGGCCCTCACTACAGGCCGGCTACAGAACCACCTCTGCCCTCACATCCATGGCCTTGGACTATTGCCTGACATTCTATGATCCCCAGTTTCTCATCTGTTGAAGGGGCAAAGCCACACCCTGGCAGAGCTGGACGAGAAGTGATGATATACGTAAGGTATGAAGAGTGGACATTCGGGTTATTGGTTTTTCTGTCCTTCTCTGTCCCCAACAGCACTGTCACTGGCTCACAGACAACCCTGACAGGGAGAACTGACTACGGCAAGTTCTGTGCCCTGAGAAACAGCATCCTTTGGGCCCTAAGCACAGGGCTGCATCACTCAGGTGTAGTATGTAATTTAAAATAAAACAAGAATGGTGCTTTGAAATATCAAATGTGAAATTCTTTTAGGAAGTGTTTTTGGTGCTCCTGCCTTGTGGTGACCCAGCACGTGCCTGGTCTACCTGTTGGATAGTCCAGCGACCACCTGGCAGTGAAAAGTGCGTACCGCCTCTCCGCCGCGGTCTCATACCCCTACCCCCTCTGTAAAGCAGTGGGACAGAGCAGGTGAGAGGGGGGCAGCTGGACTTGATGGCCCCTTAGGACTCCTCTGGCTTTGGCCTTCTTCATTTCTGCCCCTTAGATCCCCTACTCTGCCTCACCTGGGACCGGCAGCATGACTGTCTCTCTGAGAACAGAAATGTCCAGGGCAGTTTGCATCCCTTCGGATGCTAGTAAAACTGGTGACTGAACTGGTTGGATAGGGTTCGGTTAACTAAGGGATAACCCTCTCAATTTGGGACAAAGCAGGTTCCCTCTTTTGCTAGGTCCTGAGGACTGACTTCTGGATCATTATTTTAAACATGGATTTGCATCGTCAGGTACAAGTTCTTAATTTAGTACTTACCATAAACAGACTCAAATAAAATTCTGAAATATAGATTTATCTCACATTATCAATGCAAAAACAGGAAGGGAAATAGAAAACCTTGGTGCTAATATTTTCTCTTCTGTAAACTTGAACTTCTGGGTTCTCCAGGAAATGTGGCATAGAAGAAGTGTCCTGTCCTGAGAATCAAAGACCTGAGTTCGGGTGGTGACTCTGTAACCAATGCCCGTGGCACCCGAGACAGGCCCTGTCAGTCCCTGGCCTTCAGGGGGAGAAACTGATTGGCCTTGAAAATAAAAAATGATTTTTCCAGTTTTACATTGGTGCTTTTATGCATAAGAGGTGTTGTGAGAAGAGAAAGAAACTAGAGGTGACTCTAGGAAAATCACAGGGACACTGCTTATGAAATCACCAAGATCAAAGAGGCAGTCATACCAATGTCAACATGAACTTGCCAGGGGTTTGGGGGGTCACTTAGTCTGAGGGACAAGTCTAAAGTGGGGGGGTAAATCAGTACTTTAGTTCAAATCTCCCAGGTCTGTGGGTTGAAAGCACTCCCTTCTGATTCCTCTGGGAAGAGTTCTTTGAGCAGCTACAGCAAACAGACCTCCGGTTCCATCAACTGTGCCTCCCAAGCCCTGCCGGGTCACATGACAACTTCTGACCAGGGACTAGGGAGGCCTGCTGGGTGGTGGGCACCCAGTGGTTAAACAGGAGCACCTGCTGAGCTGCAGCAGCCAGTAGGGAGGCAAGTTCAATGGAGTAACACAGACTGTCTTGGATTCTCTGTTGCTACCCAACTGTGGGAGAATCCATTATGAGTTCAGACTCCCATCGGGAACGACTCTTCCCACCAAGAGCATGTTCATTGTCAATCCCCTCACTGTAGCATGACGAACAGCCCACACTCAGAGACAAGACACAGAATAGTTATCTTAGATGGAGACAAGCAGAACCACAGCACCAGGCAAAGGAGAGAGAAAGGAGCCATTCCCTGGTTAATAACTACGGTGGGAAGACAACATGTTGCTGTAAACCTTGCAGAAATCAGCCCTCCCTAGCAACGTGGTGATAGAGATGTCACTTTTTAAAAACTTAAAGTAAATGCCAAAAGAAGAAGGAGTTTAGAGGCCTGGCTTAAGAGATCTGATATCTCCCAAAGGATCATATGTTACATCCCCAACGGAAGTTCTTCTATAACACTTAACACAACTGCAATAAAATGATTATGTGATTTATTGCTTAGTGTCTGTTTCTGCCACTAGAATTTCAGCTCCATGAGGTTGGAGACCTCCTCTGTCTTGTTCAACTTGTCTACTACATACCCAGCAAATAACACATGTTTTTGTATATCTTAGGTACTTTTTTCATACTCGATTGAAAAAGGAAGGAGGGAATTCTGGGGTAAGATAAAGACAGGGCCTGTCATTTTTCTTTTAAAGTCATTGTAAATAAATGTGGTTACACTAACTATACAGTGATCATTATTTAATTCTCATTCCAGAATCACTGATTATTCTGGTTTCCAGATGTGCCTGGTTCCCATGTTTTCACTACCTACCTTCTGGGCATTCAGCTTAACCCACCATGCAGACTACAGCCTGTAATAGATCAGAGGATTCCTCAACCATCTTCTATCTTACGGGTATCCCCTCTCTGCCGAAATCACTCTTCCTTTCTACCTTCTTTGTCTTTTTCCTCCTCTACCTGCTCATCCTTGCAGGTAACACCCTGATCCTGGTGGCTGTGGTGGCAGAGCCCAGACTCCACAAGCCCATGTACTTCTTTCTCACCAACCTCTCTGCCCTGGACATCCTCTTTACCACAACCACTGTCCCCAAGATGCTGTCCCTGTTCCTGCTTGGGGACCACTTCCTCAGCTTCCCGGCCTGCTTCCTGCAGATGTATCTCTTTCAAAGCTTCACATGCTCAGAAGCCTTCATCCTGGTGGTCATGGCCTATGACCGCTATGTGGCCATCTGTCATCCACTGCAGTACCCTGTGCACATGACCCCACAGACCAATGTGGCACTGGCAGCCAGTGCCTGGCTCACTGCCCTCCTCCTACCCATACCACCAGTGGTGCAGACATCCCACATGGCGTTTGATAGCACTGTTCGCATCTACCACTGCTTCTGTGACCACTTGGCTGTGGTGCAGGCCTCCTGCTCTGACAGCACACCCCAGACCCTCATGGGCTTCTGCATCGCCATGGTGGTGTCTTTCCTGCCTCTTCTCCTGGTGCTTCTCTCCTATGCCTACATCTTGGCCTCAGTGCTTCGCATCAACTCCCGAGAAGGACGTTCAAAAGCCTTCTCCACCTGTAGCTCCCACCTCCTGGTGGTTGGTACCTACTACTCCTCCATTGCCATGGCCTACGTGGCCTACAGGGCTGAGCTGCCCCTGGACGTCCACATCATGGGCAATGTGGTGTATGCTATCCTCACGCCTGTCCTCAACCCTCTCATCTACACGCTGAGGAACAAGGATGTCAAAGCAGCCATCACTAAAATGGCATGTCTCTGGGGCCAAAAGAATGCTGGGAAACCCTGATTCATAGGTGCAACTTGATCTACTCACAGACGCAAATAACAATAGACAGAAAAGTGGACTATTCAAGCAGCCAGATAGAACAATAATTCTCAAAATGCAGTCTTAAGTATTCCTTCATTGTAATAAAATAATAATCTTCTTTCCTTAATTCACAGACAAAATGGATGGGAGTTTTCTATTTAATTTTTTAAGCTGTGAGTACCAATTTCACAAGATTGTGAATACAATTGTGGTCACATTTCCATTAATTCAAACTATTTTGATTCTCAGAGACTCCAAGCATTTGACCAGGAAGAAATTCAGTCCTTTCCCTTGGATTTCTTCTTCCAGTATTTCTAAACATCCCCAGGGCTGTTGACACCTAGATGTGAATCAGTCTTGCCCTTATTGCTAGAATAGCCGTTTAGAAACCCACTGCAGGGATAGTCTAACACAACTACCATTTCAAGCCATGTTGCCTAGAAATTCACTGCCACTACCAAAGTTTCAACACCAGTCACACGAGAAATTTACATCTGGTATCTAGGCCCTCATGGTGTTATTAAAGAACATGCCCTTCCTCTAAGCTTATGCTCAGGCAAGCGGTGTCCCTTACCAAACCTGTGTGGGCATCAAAGCGTTACAATTCTTTCGGTTCTCAGCCACACCATAATGTTCCCATCCAGACAATGGGGAGCTAAGTAGAGAAGTTTCCCCTTATCGGTAGGATCCTGTGTCCAGGACCTCTACTCTCCTCAAAATACAGGAATTCCTCTTTCCGGCCTTAGTGGCCAGCCCAGGCTCCTATTCTTTTCCCCTTTGCCACATTTCCTCTTGAAAACCTGCCAGGTTTGCCCATCCAGGGACATATAGAACATATAGTTAAAAGTGTTTGGGGGGAATTCGAGTGACAGATATCCTCATCTCTGACTCATTACAGATATTTTCATTCCAATTTCTAGGGCCCAAGTTTTGACAATCGAAGGATTGACTTTAACCGTTTTCCCAATGCATGAACCAAATGTCGATGAAAATTCAATTGATGCAATTCATCCAAGGACAGGGTTTGTTCCTGGGCTCAGCTTTCAGCAGGCTTAGAGATCCTGCTATAGTCAGAAAGGGCTTCCTGAAGCAGAATAATAGAAAGGCTCTTGCGTACTGACCCTGGGCAACTGGAACCGGCACTCACGTTCCTCTATCCAAGCCTTATTCAATCTGTAGTACTTCCATTCCTCAATCCTTGAAATTGACGTCTAGACTTCGGTAGGACCACAATCCTCCAGGTCTAAAGGAGGTTTTAATAAATTGCCTTGCCTCTGACTTCCACGAGCTATTAAAATTTAACCTAAGGACTTGGAGAGAAATTATTTTGCTCTCTGCTCCACTACCACCCAATAAACAGCTCTGAGAGTGCCCCATGTTACCACTACAGTTCTATTTTGTGCAACTTCTCTTCTGGCATCAATTTCCGTTTTGGTTCTGGACTTTGGTTTCCTGTGTCCCTGGATGAGCCTCAAGACATCCTTTCAGGTTCACTTCTCCTTCTAGATGGAACAATGACTTAATCACGTGGACAGTGAATCACAGCAATATGGAATCCCAGGCTAGTTCCACCCCCCACCCACTATCTCCTTGTGGCTCCTCCTAAACATTTTTCATGAGTGGACATGAAATAATAACAACAATAATAATGTTTTTCACCTGTAGCTTTACCTGCTAATTGGCACAGTCTCTCTGTATTTCCCAATTTAAAAACCAGTTTCAACTTTCTTCAAAGGACACTATCAAGAGAGTGAGAAGATAACACAGGAAGGGAGAAAATACATCTAATATATTGTCCGGCTAGTGTGGCTCAGTGGTTGAGTGTCAACCCATGTACCAGGAGATCTCGGTTCGATGCCCAGGTTGTGGGCCTGATCCCCAGTGTGGGGAATGCAGGCCAGTCAATGTTCTTTCTCATCAATGTTTCTCTCTCTCTCTCTCCTCACTTCCTCTCTCTCTAAAAATCAATAAAGGGAAAAAAAATTTTTTTTATTTTTTTATTTTTTTAATTTTTTTTTTATCCTCACCCGAGGATATTTTTCCATTTTTTGTACAGATAGAGTGGGAGGGAGAGAGAGGAAGGGAGAGAGAGAGAGAAACGTCGATGTGAAGGGACACATCGAGTGGCTGCCACCCGCACGACCAACCAGGGCCAGGGACAAACTGCAACCGAAGTACGTGCCCTTAGCGGGAACCGAACCCGGGTCTCTCAGGACCGCAGGCCGATGCTCTAACCGCTGAGCCAAACTGGCCAGGGCAAAAAAAATTTTTTTTAAAAGAAAATCATATATCTGATAAGGGATTAATATCCAGAATATATAAAGAACTCCTGTAACTGAACAACAACAAAAAACAAACAACTCGATTCCAGAAATGGGCAAAAAACTTGAATAGCTATTTCTACAAAGAAGATATACAAATGGCAAATAAGCACATGAAAAGATGCTCAACATCACCAGCCATCAGATAAATCAAAACCATAATGAGATACAACTTTAAACTCATTAGAGTGGCTTTTATAAAAAATAGAAAATAACAAGCATTGATGAGGATGTAGAGAAACTGAAACCCTTGAAAAAATGGTGCAGGCACTGTGGAGAACAATATGGTGATGCCTCAAAAAATTAAACATAGAAATACCAACGATCCATCAATTGCTCTTCTGGGTATGTATTCAAAAGAATTCAAAGCAGGGTCCTAAGAGATATCTACGTTTATAGCAGCATTATTCACAATAGCCAAAAGGTGAAACCACCGAAGTGTCCATTGACAGATGAACAAATAAACAAAATGTTGCCTATACCTACATGGAATATAATTCAGCCTTTAAAAAAGTGAAATTCTGATACATGCTGCAACGTGGATAAACCTTGAAGACATTATGCTAAGTAAAATAAGCCAGACACAAAAGGACAGGTATTATATAATTCCATTTGTATGAGGTATGTGGAATAATGAAATCATAACAACTGAAAGGAAAACAACGGTCACCAGGAGCTGGGTGGAGAGGGAAAGGGAGAGTTACCGTTTCGTGTGTATGGAGGTTCGGTTTGGAACGATGACACCCGTCTGCAAACAGGCAGTGGTGATGGCTGCGAAACATTGTGCATAGACTTAATGCCACTGTACATTACATCTAAAAATGGTTAAAATGGTCAATTTTATATTATGTATACTTTACCACAATAAAAATACATTAAAAAAACAGCTTCGCCAGGCCATGGGTCACAGGTCCCCAAGTAGCCGGGGGCCTGGCTGCCCTCCATCAGATGCCCACCTCTGGGTCAATAGCTGTGGCCAGAGGAAAATGTATGTTGTTCGGCACGTGGTTTAACATGGACACAAAAATCAGTGAAGCAGTTTGTCTTAAAAAGTGGGGTGTGAGCCCTGGCTGGTTTGGCTCAGTGGTTGAAGTGTCAGCCCGCGGACCAGAGAGTCCCGGGTTCAGTTCCTGTTAAGGGCACGTACCTCGGTTGCCGTTTGTCCCTGGCCCTGGTTGGGGTCGTGTGGGTGGCAACCACTCAATGTGTCTCTCTCACATCAATGTTTCTCTCTCTCTCTTCCTCCCTCTCTCTTTTCCACTTTATCTGAAGATACATGCAAAAAAAAAAATGTCCACGGGTGAGGATAAAAAAAAAAGTGGGGTATGAGGATAGGCATTTGACATCTGGGACACTTAGGGGAATCCTTTTCCTGTCTATACCAGGTGATTGTTGTGAAGATTTGAGTGAGAAGGTCATTTCATCTCCCCAATATCTTGAGGCTGCATCCACCCCTCTCCATCCCCACTCGTCAACGCTGGTGCCCATGTTACCACTTTCGCTCTCTTGAATGAGCAGAGCAGTCTCCTCACTGGTCCCTCTGCCTGTGTGCCCACCCTCCATTCCATAAGAGGGCAGAGTGGGCTTTCTGACATACAAATCTGGTTACCCTCCCACCCTCCACTTAACTTAATGTGGCCCCAAATGGTCTCTGACCTCAACTCTCACCATTGCCTCTCTCGTGGCAATTCTGAACTTCCTTCAGTTGCTCAGACACACCAAGTCCTCACTTTCACCAATGACTCATTCTTCCCTCTTCCCAAGGCCCCCTTCCTCTTTGTCTATGTCAGCTGAACTCTTACTCAGGCTTCTCCTGAAACATCATCTTTTCGGGGAACCTGCCCTGGCACCTCACCCTGAAATGTGAGGTGGATGCCATTCGTATGCTCTCCTTCAGCACTTTATAATTCCCATCGTGGCCCTTCTTTGTTTCTGGACCTTAGGAGAAGAGAGCTCTGAGCACATTATACCCATTAGTCTGTGCACGCTCCTTGCTTGTTTTATTCATCTTCCTCTATGCCTCCAACCCCCAATTCCCATCCCACTCCTCTTTCCCCACTTAAGCAACCATTCGGATGTGTTGGATGTATGCCCACAAATATAAGCATATTGCCCAGCCAGTGTGGTTAAGTGGTTAAGCATCGACTCATGCACCAAGAGGTCGCTGGTTCGATTCCCAGTCAGGGCACATGCCCAGTGGGGGGCATGCAGGAGGCAGCCAGTCGATGTTCTCTCTCATCCAAGTCTCTGTCTCTCTCCTTTTCCCTCTCTCTCTCAAATTAATAAAGAAAAAAACTTTAAAAAATACATAAGCATATCTTTGTAAACTATGTAATGTTCTTTTATGTATGTATGTACAGTTTTAATTTATATAAAAAGAATTATGTTGCCCTGGCCGGTTTGGCTCAGCAGTTGGAGCATCCGCCTGCGAACCAGAGAGTCCTGGGTTCGGTTCCCACTAGGGGCACATACCAAAAAAAAAAAAAAAAAAAAGAAAGAATTATGTTACACATCTCCATTTATTTCTTTCATTTGCATTCAGTTCTATGTTTCAGATCTGTGTTGATGTTTATACATCTTGTTTCTTTCTTTTTTTTCCTTAATCCTCACCTGAGGACATTTTTTCTTTTCTTTTTTTTTTTTATCCTCACCTAAGGA